AGAAATCAGTTCAGTAGTTAGTCATGAAGAAAAGACAGGCAGGCAGACAGAGTTACTTTCGCATTGATAATATTAGTATAGATGACAAGTTACCAGATTAAAAAAAGAAGCAACCTAGTTACCATAAACAAAGAAAAAAAAACAAAAAATTTCGCTAACAATATCGATATAATTTGAATCAGAGTCCAAGTTAAGACCGTTAAAATCGATAAAAGGCGTAGAATCGAAAGCGTTTATACAAAAAACAGAATAAGGTCGGCAGAGGTCGGTCGGGTGTAACGTCTTACACGATTAGTCAACTTGGATTAATATTCATAGAAATTGCTACAAAAAAGCTGTCTAATGATAATTGCATGCAACATAATGCCTAAGTATGATAAATGCCTAGTAACATTTAAATATATAAAAAAGGTACTAATATAAATAGTAAGTTAATATTGTTACTATGTCACGAACCAAATATGGACATTTGTCTAAAATAAATTTTAATGTTATTCTATTCTAACGAGAGGTTGAGATTTTTTAATCGATCACATAATTTTTTTCATTTTATCTTTCGTAAGGTATTTGGTGGTCAATTTTTGCTATAAAGTAGATTACCATAAAATGATTACTTCACATTTCGAAGTTGTATTCATATTATATATTACTTAAACAAAAATGTATCGTAAAACGTTTTAGTAAGCGCATAACTCAATAACGCCTGAATCAAATTAGCCAATTCTTTTTTGTTGTGTTTCTTAGTGCCAGAAGAAGGTTGTTATGAAAGAAAATTTTAAAAAAGCAGGGTGGATAATTATGGATTTGCGATCAATAATAATTTTGTCATCATTGAGGTTATGTGCACTTGTGCGATACAGGGGCAGATTACTAGATTAAATGAAATAGATAGTTCCAAAACAAACGTATTATGAACGAAGCAGCTTCAAACAATATGCGTTAAATACGTCAATTAGATAATTGTAGGATCCGAGTACGTCACGTGCAATGTTCATTATGCACTGTTGCTATTCTCTATTGTCTGTATCTACGTCATTAAAATTAACTTCTTATTATTAACCTAACCTACCCTTTCATTTGGATTAACTTTACTTGCATGCAAAAGTAAAGGTTGACATCGTGTCAAATGTATCGCTTTTAGAATACGAAATCTTTTATTATTGTTTTTAGTTCCGTGATTCAGTGATCATCTTCTGTATGTTCTTCAAAATCCTTGTAGGAAAGGGTAGTTAGAGTCAGACCAAAAGACAAAGTGCGTCACTTTAAATATCCCATTTAATATATATTATCTACAACTAGCATAGCCCATTATTTTATCCTAACAATTTAAAAGCAGCCATTAATAAAATGACATTTTATTATACAGAAGCGGCTTTGATAAGGAATGCAATTCAATCTGCCGTGATCGTTGAGGTGGACAAGACGAGACCATGTACTTTCCCTATCACAATGATAGTCCAATGATCCGATTTACTTTCACTGTCTGCTACTTAGTGGTGACAGTAAGGCCCAAAGCAGACCTGCTACTTTTGTAACGGCTTCTTAATTTATTTTGGAAACTTGTTTACCTACTGTTCCGAGCCCCATTTTCAACTTTTTAAAGTGACATGTTTAAAAATATTCTAATTTAAAAACTACGAAGTTTCATTTCGATTCCAACTTTTTTTTTTAAGTACAAAACGAATGTTTTATTAAACATAGATAGGTATACAAGTCCTACATTTACACATGTGTATCACATCACGTGGTCGTCCGCATGCACATTATCACAGTCGCATCCAATATAACTTCATAACATAGACACCTATTTCCAACACAACATTAAAAACAACAATTTTAATCACATCTGTAAGGAAACTCTACCGAAAAACCTCTTTCAATAAATGCATTTGAATTAAGAATACGGAATATGGCGCGAAATATTTGACGTCAATGAACAAGATGGCGCCAGTTAGATATAAATATGACAATAAATCAATCCTTTCTCTTTTTACGTTGTTACAATGTGTTCTCGAGAAGTTTTAGTTCACAGGTAAGTATTTATTGAGGCCAACGTATCGAATACGCTTAACACCGATTCTCATCAAGTAAAAATAGCTATACTTGTAGATAGTGTTGTATTTCGACATTTGACGTTGATGCCGCGGAGAAAGAGAAATGAAAAGTTCACTTTAAACTAGCGAATGTTGCAAGAGGTTAGAAAAAGAAAACTACTTACTTTTATTTTATTAGTAAAAAAAACTAAGTCACTATTCCTACAAACATACACAAACATTTAAATATAATTTCCGCCTACGACTTTTCTCGTATTTACACATTTTATATTTCGGTTTGTTATTGTTATTGTTTCTTAACTTAATCACAATGACGCCATTATGATTCAATTCTTTTGTCCTGTTTAGGAAAAAAATCTCTAATCTAAATAAAAACACTAATTTTGCTATTATTTAACTGGTAATTTTTATGAGACTGCAAGGTTTTTTCATTTGAATGCTGTGCTATACTTTAATTTCATTCATCAGAGCTAGGCTTTAATTTCATTGCCCGTAGACTGATATAAATATCTTTGCAAGTGTGACTAACCATTCGTCTAGACTTCGTACCCCGCTGTGTGCGATTTTCTCTTTCTTAGTCTTGTAAATAAGCGATTAATTATAGCATATACCTAGAAATTTACTTATTAAACTCCTGATAAAAATGTAAAAGATAACATTATGTAGAGTCTTTAACAAAACACATAAAACAAAAACAAAGGAAGATACATAAGTAAGTAACTTATTTTTATTGTTGAAAAACCATTCAATGACTTCCCCTGGCCCCGACAGCAACGGTAGGAATAGTCAAATTCTTACTAACTAAAAATCTAACCGTTTCTACTCCTGCTTCAGGCGGGCAGCGGCACTTCATTGCTTGTACCCTGCTTGAAATTAGTGGTAGAAAAGCTTTAACTTGGAGAGAGCCATGCTTCGACACGACAGGACGGGACACGAATGGGTCGGCTCGGCGGGAGTGATACCACGGCCTCACAGAAAACCGGCGAAACCGGTGAAACACAGAGTTGTGTCACCGTGTTAGTGAGGTTACCAGAGGTCCAATCCTTCCCCTCCTCCAAGCATACCTCTCCAAAACTCTCCTCTTCCGTTGATGCAGTCTCTCGAGTCTCCTCATTTACCGTCCTATTCCAAACTCGTACTTAATCAAGAGATTTTTCGTGCCTGTAGACTTCTGACGTTCAGTCACTTACTTATCATACCCCTTGTGAGCCATGTCGCCGACATCTCAGCAAGACGTGAAGACGTGTGCATGTGCTGATACGATAACATCACTCCATGTTTCAAGATATGCGGATTTAAGCTCACTTACGTATATGTTTACCTACTAAAGTAGATATCATCTTCGTTATTGTGGAATGGTAATAATTTACTTAGCCCATTTTTGAACCACAAATTAGGAATTTATTGTTAACACGTTACACGCCATGGGGGTCACTGGTGACCTCCATTAGCGGAGGATTTGCCTTCAACAGTTTTTTGTCTGCAGTCAAATGCTTTAAAACAAATCGGCTTAATGAAAAGTTGTTAAGTACTATAGTTTTCTTTATTTATGGAAATAATAAACTATAATAACAATATTTATCTTTAAGAAAATAAGTTCATACATAAATGATTTTGCCTTTGCCGTCTGTTAGAGAAGTATGGGAGAAGAGGACTAATTGTGTCGACTAGAGATAGGTAAGGCTAAACTAACACGAATGCGTAACTAGGAAACTAAATAATTCAAACTGCTACAATTCCCTTTTTCTTCTGAACAAACTAAAGAGGCTCTAGTTTAGTAGAAACCTTGTAACAGTTGCCGCATTTAACTTAACAAATGTATGTTAAACAGTACTCTGTGTATCTCAGTTAAACCTACTTGGTCACTTGAGACCGGTTTAAACTAACTAGTAACATGTCGATAACGAATACGACTTTTTCCAGTTTCCATAATGTTCTCGTATAATTATGTTTCGAGTTGGTTCTACTTTCTTTCTCTCCTTTTGGCTTTTAACCTACTATTAGCACTGATTCCTAATATTTTACATGGAATAAAATGGGTGAACTCAATTACAGGTTATGTCAATGATAATAGGTCTTTACCTATGAAATTACCGTTTTGCATGAAAAAATTTAAACGATTTTTTTGATTTGAAATGCGATGAAAATGTATCAATAAACAAATGACTACTTTTGGAAAAATAATCGCATGTTTTTAAAACAAAATTAATTAGCTTTAGCCTAATAAAAATTATTTTGATTTGAAATCATATTTCATAGGTAAATACCTATTATTATAGGTAAAAAGGTGTAGATAGGTTACAAGCGCTCAGCAAGTGATACATTAAATTGTCTCTTTTTCACTCGCGATTATTGATTCATGCCATCCCACTTTAACGTGTACCTATCATAAAATTTATTCGTGTGCATAAGTGTGCCGTTTTTAAAAATCGAGTGTTGTGTATAACCTATCTTTACCATTTTATTTATAATATCATTGTGTTATGTAGTTGTCTTCCGAATACATAAAACTGTCATAAATGATTTGTCAGTCAGATAGACATTCTATACAGAAAAACTTACCTACTTAACTCAATTATACTTTCTTCTACCGAATTTTCGATGCGTAATCGTAAACGTTACTAGACCAACGAAGCAGTCAATTGTTAAACATCTTAATCAAAGTCATATAAACAAGCATGACCACGAAATATGCGTTCGTAAACACAATTTACGCTTTTTCACTATTTTTAATTGATTACAACGAATTAGCTGCGCCCGCAGCCATTACTTTAATTACTAATTAGGGGTCCTATTTACTCGGCCGAATTATCTCTGACGTCGACCACGTCGTTAAGTGCACGAAAATATTTCTACAAACATATTTTTGTTCATTAAGGAAGTTTTGAATTTGTTTAAGTTCGTTTGTGAGTGCGTTATCATTGACAGTAACATTTTTACTTTCAGATGGTATCGGGAATCATGCGATCAACGCTATCGGGGCAGCGCTCATCTGAAGACTAGTGACGTCACGTGAACGCGTTGTTGATAGTTAATCGTCGAGTAGTACGTGTATATCAGTGGCGGGAGTCGGGTATCGACACTTCGATCTAGTGCGCATCACTACGAGATTCGAATTCGAATTTCTTGCCGCGTTGGAGCGGTAGTAGACTGTGAAGTAGGACTCGCGTGTGTAGTGGACGTTAGAGAAGCGTTATGGCCAGCACCGGCAGTGAAATTTGGCTGCAATGGTTCGCGTGCTGCTACCAGCCCGCTGCGCAGGCGCAACGCACGCGCCGGAGAATAGACCGATCCATGATCGGCGCGCCGACCAACTTTCAACACACAGGACACATAGGTAAGTTTCTAACTGACGTTAATTATGTAGCTTCATTGTCTGCTGTCTCTGAGAAATATCTAGAAGACATTACGAACAAAAACGACAATGTTTCTCAAACTTATACATTAATGATATGATATATTAGGTAATGTTCTTAGTCAAGAATCTGGATCGTATGAAAATTTGACCATTTCAAAAAAAAACACATGCATGTAAGATACAAAATAAGCAAAGACATATTCAAAATTCGCACACCACTTTGAAACCAATAAGTTAGCTTTTGTCTTCGGAGAACTTGAAATAAAACTGAGAAAAAGTTGTGACTGGGAAAGGAAAAGGGAAATATGTATTTCCCTATTAATTTAATACACAAAGACAAAAAGTCCTCTTAGTAAAGTAATCTACAATGTGCAGAAACATAAAAATAGTAATACAGGAATTACTTGTAATGTTTTTGTTAGTGTGGATCCATGTCCATGACGTTTCTTACAACAGTGAGTCACTAGTTCACTAGAATCTACAGTTCTGAGTAACGCTACTGGTGGTAAATGGTAATCCTTTCTGTAGATGTATGTTTAATTCATTCGTTGTTATACTTATTGGAAGTTTGTTTTTAATATCAAAGAGCTATTTTAATGAAATTGTCAGAACGAAATCGTGACCACATTGCCTAAAAGTCAACAATTACTTGATATCAAATATCTTGGCAAAGAAAAAAATTAAAAAACTCTGAAGAAGTTTCAGCAAATTTCTAAGTAGATTTCAAAACAGCAGTGAGTATTTTCCGTATGTTTTCTATAAATAATTGCATTTTATTAAGAAATTTGGTAAATGGCTAATAGTGGGTATTAAATACTTGGTATAGGTCTACAATATCTTTCTTTATCTATACTAATGTTATAAAGAGGTAACATTTCTAAGTTATTTAGCGAGATCTTTGGAACTACTGGCCGGATTTACAAAATTCTTTGACTGATAGATAGCTGCAATGGTGCTGGATGCTATACGCTATAAATTATACTATTAATTTGCGTGTTTTAGTCAGGCTATCCCTATAAACGCTGCTATTATTAAAGTCGCGGGCGGAAGCTAGTTTTACATACTACAAGCAATAGCTTTGGGCAAATCAAGTAATGGAACATAATTTTCTAGAAGCTTTGATGCAAAATCCATCAGAAATACGTATAATTTAACGACAACTCTATGGTACTGGGCTATCTGTTATCTATATCAAATACCCACTCGAGGGCGATCAGTGTAATCCTGACGATCGATGGCTTGATAAGGAGCTGTCATTTAGCAGAATTTTATCATAACCTTCCCGAAAACCAAGGTGAATGACCGATCAGACTTCAATACTGGTGAATACCGGATATCTTGTTCATCTGCCATCTTGGATCGCTGGGCTACGGAACAACGATGAACAAAATTTACCTCTTAGGGTTTTTCATTTAAACAGCGGTACTCTAACCATACATAAAACAGGCCTACTTATTCTTTGTATAAATATGGTTTATAAATACGGAAACGATATGTTTTCTTCAGTTTATTTTGCTGTTTGAAAAATCGTATCGTTAATCGATAGAACGTTTTTCTAGAATACTAGGTATAGTTACGAGAAAATAGTACAACCATCTCAGAATCTTAAACACACTCGATCAGTAAAAACGAGTGCATTTCAAGCACTTTCCATTCCAAAAAGTAACAAGTCAGAATAAGTATGTATTACAAAACTGAATCTTATGTAATTGACATAACGACTAATACGTGATTGAACGATAGTAAGTTACATAAAAAAAACGCATTGGTATTCTACAGGACAGACTCCTGCCTATTTTGGTTACGAATAGATGAGTACAGTGGAATCCTTATAAAGGAATGCTATTCTGCCCCATAAGTGAAGACTACCGGACTTTTAAGGGAACGGCTGGTCAAGTAATGTTTGTAGTAACTCCAGTGATTCTATAGTTGACGTTTTGTCAGCCCTAGATATTCTGGTTTGTACTGGTTTAAATTAGGGTTGCAACTTAAGTAATTACAATCAAGAACAATAGATTAAACAAAAATCCTTTCGTCGGAAAACTGTTTAATTTGAAAACGAATTAATACTTAGTTGTAGCATCGATTTTTTTATTATTTAAAGATAGATATTATATGTATATAGAAAGCATTCTTTTTGATTGTCAGTGTACATATTATGTGGGCCCCATGTACGAAACGGTGAAGGGTTTTAAAAATTAATGATGAGGAATTGATATTATCGCTTTTTCTTTTTTTTAATTATTCTCTGCTTTGTTCTCACATATGTGTATTAAGTAATGTATTGGTGAACTCGTAAAATGAATTAAAAAAAAAATAGTTTGATGGATTTAAACCAGTTCAGAGTGACAGACAGACTGTAATTCTATTTTGATCTTTCAAAAGTATACCTGTATAAGGTTTAGTTGCAATAAATTATTTTTTGACTTGACTTCGACTTTAGCACTGCCTACAACAACTTAGCTAGTAAAACGCCATCAGTCTTACAATCCACTAGATCCCTTTTTTATCATTCAATATTAATTACAGAAAAAAATATGTCGGAAATATCACTACTAAAAAAATTTTAAATGCATTGATCAATGTAGTATATTTATTTGCATTCTTTGCTGTCTCTAATTGGATAAAAAAGTTAAATGTTAAAGTTGCAATCAACGTTATTTCTGATTTCCTTTTCCCATCCATGCTTGCATCTGCGACATTCCTAGGACTTATTAGATATAATTTAGTGTTCTAAGCTAATACTAGACTCGTCTAGACCAGTTATTAGCCCTCTTCAATCCTGTTTAAGTGGCCTCTTTGCTAGCTAAGTACGTGCATATTTATTCTGGTGGAACGTTGCGTTGAGTTGATTTTTGTTAAGGTATTAGGTAATTTTAATGTGGGCCTAATATAAATATCTAATTCTTTGTAAGTTGATAAGTTCTTTTTAAGTTGTATCGAAAATATATTGGTATAATGTATGTTATTGTATATATTGGTAGAATATATAATTCCTTTCTAAAATTTCAATTCGAATCACAATTTCGTAAAACGTAAAATCTATTTGTTTAGATTTTACGTTTTCTCTAGTTTCCATAAAACAAATATATAAACAATAAAATATATAAACAAAAAAGTCTGTATTTCATCAAATGCTAATAGAAACAAAAACCGCCAATCATAAGGAGATACAAAAGCTCTGTAACCAATTTTTACGTTAAAGTTTAAACCCGTTTTGTTTGATCTAGATTTCGTGCCTCTAAAACTGAACGTATCCATAAGCGTGATTTCAAATTTGGATAGTGAACGTTAGTTTTTGTAATGGTCGGCCATTGGACATAATCGCCAATTAGACCAAACGACTACAGATAATATATTTTGCATTGAATTTTAATGAGTTCCGCTTTCAAGTAAATTACAAGTTGGTTTCAACCAAAATTTCTAAAATCGAAATTTAGCAGTTTTTTGTGAGAAATTGCAATGTTTTGAATTGAATTAGAAATTATAATCTTGTCTAATTTCTTGATTAGCGTGGAGATTTCGCAGTTTCTTGTTTTTATTTTGTTAGAAAAAATATTATTAAACGCTGGAAGAGAAAATCCTGGATTTTTCTTCCTAACTAACCGCAATACCACTTACTGATGACATATAGCCTTTAACTTAAGCAGCATAACTTTTTCAAACGATTTTACTTGCAATACAAAATAAATAAATGGTATGATTCCCTCTACGCCTAGGCTATTAATGTATAATATATGTATCTCAAATCGTTCAGTAGTAACGATGTGAAACGATATCAAAGAAACAATCAAACAAAGTCACTTTCGCATTATACTTAAAAGTTTTATCACCAGATTGCATTAAACTAAGTATAGGGGCTAATAACAATAGGAGAATTCTTTCAACTTTCTCATTTATGAATCTGATAAATAGTTAATTGCTAATGCAAATGTCTACTATCGATTAAGTATAAGCAGTCTTACAACTATCTTAGAAATTAGAATCAAAACAAAGCATTAATTAACATTTAAAATTAATAGGTAGCAATATTTTATTATTTCAAAAAAAAATATCATAAACTTGTCATGTTTTAATATTATTTATTACTTTTTTATTTAGATTGTGAAAGGCATTGACGTACAAAGACAATATATTAAAAAGCTCAAACTTATAATAATTTATTTGTTTATGACGACGAGCGCTCTCATTGGTCGGTTCTAAGTTAACTAACCAATCAGAGGGATAAAAAGGGTTACGTTTTGATCGCGTTTAAACATAATTCGAACTCGGCATTCCGATTTTAAAACTTAACGTTTGGAAATGTCGTACTCCACTATAGCTTCACTTACCTTTATAAGAGGCCATAACCTCCATGTTTGGCAAGTGGACTGAAGATTTTCCGTTTTTGTTTGGTGACTGGACTTCACCCAGTTGTATCTGCATTAAATTTTGAATTGAATTCTGTCTCCTGCATTAAAAGAGAGGTTAGTGGAAACTAGGTATTTCGTAATTTTTTCTCCTCAAATTGTATCTTCTGATTTATTTCGTTGCGAGATCCAAGACAGTCATTCATGTAATCAGGTCCTTGGAACACGCTGGACTTTAAATTTGGGTGTTTTCATGATTGTACCTACTGTAAATCCTGGCTTATAGGAGTTGCAGCGGTATTGAGGTTGTGGTGTCCCAAAAATAGTTTACTGAAGATTATCGTTACCACACGGGATACCTAATTAAGATCAATAAATAAATAAATAGAAATGCTGTTAATGATAATACTTGCCAACAATAGCTATTATCAAATGTTAGTATTTAATATAGTAGGATAGACTGGCTAGACACTAGACAGCTCGAGTACGATATAGTTCTATTGACCCGTAAGCAACAGATACATACATACATATAGGTAGGTACCTACTTCATTCATACTAAGGTCTCGTTTACATACACGTGGGGCGTTGCGCGGCGCGTATTTAGTTTGTCGTACATTACAGCATCAA